CACTGCAGTACACCCCTCAGACACCTGATTCCTCTAGCTCTTGGTTCCACTGCAGTACACCCCTCGGACACCTGATTCCTCTAGCTCTTGGTTCAGCTTTTGCCAGATGCCGCCATACTTCTAACCCTTAGGCACAGCAGGGTCCACGTGCTCAAGGTCCCAAAGCATGACATAAACTGCACACCCTCGGCTTGACACGAAGTCGTCTGCGTCAGAAGGGCACACAGCAAATACCAGAAATTACAGGGCTGACGCATCTCTCTCTCTCTCTCTCTCTCTCTCTCTCTCTCTCTCTCTCTCTCTCTCTCTCTCTCTCTCTCTCTCTCTCACACACACACACACACACACACACACACACACACACACACACTAGCACGCACGCGCAGGTGCACACACCTACCCCACAAATTGTCATTTATATGTGCATGCATGTGTGTGAGAGTATGTGTGTGTGAGAGTCTGAGTGTGTGATGTCATGTTCACTGCACACAACTCCACAAAAAGAATGCACACGCCTGCAGCAGACTGTTTCATCGGACTTTCACCGACTAATCAGAAGAGAAGGCGAAGACAAAGGAAGAAGTTTGGCAACAAGAGAAGATCGCCAAGAAGATCGAGGAACTTGAAGCAATGCTGACAAATGAAGCACATTGCAACGAGAGGAGAAAACGAGTGGTTGGATTGAACTCACCCGACACAGACCACAAGAGATCGACATCCACGTCGAGGAGCGGAGGGATCAAGATCAGACAGCCGCACCGAAAGCTACAATGGCCGGACCACCACCGGCGAAAGAGCAATCGACCAAAACCAGTTAAACTTGAAGATGCGATGCACATGTTGGAGCGGAGGGATCGAGATCAGACAGCCACACATTCACATATCTTCGGCGAAAGACAGGCGCGCACAGAAAGCTACAATGCCGGGACCACCACCGACGAAACAGCAATCGACCAAACCAGTTGGAGCTACAATGGAGGGACCACCACCGGCGAAAGAGGAGAACTACCTACATCGGGCGGAGGAGGAGAAAAAGAAAACGCCGCAGCAACGGCAAGAGCGGTCACGAACAACACATCAACCGGCGAGAACAGCAAGGGATGTTTTACTACGGTGAAGAGAAGCTGAAGCTGAATCACGGGAGCAAGGGACGTGCAGAAGTCGGGATTGTTGTGTTTGAAGAGGATTGGAATTGTGGACAATTTTTCGGATGTCATTGTGTCAACCAAAACCACAACGACCGGAATAATGAAAACCCCGATGGCTTGATCATGACAGAATATGTGTATGGTGTGAAACAAGCCCCTTCAGCTGGAATGACAAAGTCTCCTGTGGCTTTCAACTCAAGGGCAACACTGGTAGAATGTCCAAAATTATGTTATGAAGGACGAAAGCGTGCTTTTAATGAGAATCGGAAAACCCCGAGTTCGGTTTTTTTTTTTTTTTTTTTACCTCGGAACGCTGAATGACAAGTACAGTGCAAAATGAAAGAAGAATTTGAAAACATGAAGCTGGACAAAATTGGCCAATGACTCGAGGAGATAAAAAAACAAAAAAAGGAAAACTACAAAACGCATACACCGTGAGTTAAAAAAAGACAAGACTTTGGAAAAGAAGAGACCAGTCTGCATGCGTTTGCTTCCCCAGCAAGGTTCGCAGGCATGACGCTTGTCTAAACCCTCAACCTGATGATGACCAGGAAAAAGCAAACAGAGACACCTCTTTTTTTCTTCTTCTTTTTTTTTTTTTACACCTCAATCTGACGCCCAGGCAAGACCCTTAAAAACTTTATCTATGCTGTAAATTTAAAAGCTAACAAGGAAAATCTGTCGGCACTAACAAGAACCTATGCCGTCAAAGACATGTTTGCAAAGACCCCGCATGAAGAGCTAAGAGACGCCACCCAGTGGATTTCTTTCTGAATTCAAAACAACTGCGCATCACTGGCCACAAGTAAAAAGTAACTAAAAACCAAAGGGAAAAAAAAAAAAAAAAAAAAGAGAAAAAACAAGCAGCAACCGGATGCAACCCGGTGCAATTCAGCAGTGGAACCTGTTTTGAAATCCAGTAGTAGACTGGTCGACTTTCGGCTCAAGAGCATTGTATTCCAAAAACCCGTTGGGGAAATTTCATGGCAAAAATACAGGCATAACAATGGGGGAGGGCAGGCAAGCCCACCATTGGCATGCCTTGTTTCCATGTTAACTGAGAACAAATTTCTGAAGTCACTCGGGACCCGTGCAAAGTGTTTGGACTGGTGAAAAAAGACAAGTGGATGACCGTATGATGATCAGGGCTTGTACAAGAAAGGAAACGGAAGTTGTGAAACACAAAAACAACAACACTGTAAAAGCCATTTTTTTAACTTGGTATTTCGTCGAGGGACTGAACCCAGCTGAGAATAAAGAGTACAAATCTTGCTTGTACAAAACGAAAGTAAACACACACAAAAAAAAAAACACAAAAAAAAAAAAACACAAAGTCATGTTGTTAGTTAGTGGAGGGGGCCGAGCGCAGATGAGAAGAAAAAGAGTACAAATCTTGCGACAGTCGTGGCCTGGGCTTTGATTGGCCGGAGAGCCTTGGTCAGCCTTTCAGAGCTGTGGCCAACTTCGTGAGGGACGGCAGGCCCCGTTCCCAGCTCAGTTTTGTGAAGGTTGCTCCTTGTCCACAAAAAAAAAAAAAAAAAAAAAAGAAGTAAAGTCGTTGACAAAATCGCAAACTCCTATCAAAAGAAACTTCGACTGGAACGAACAGATGGCGGTTTAAACATTTCGGAATTTCTCAAGATAAAAAATATTTGTTTTGGATAAACCCACTGAGATAATAACTTAATGTATGCACAAATTCAAGAATTTGGAAAGTATTGGGATGGCTCCGAGAAATCTGAGGTATATGATAACCATTTGGCTACCAGCCGTGCCGCCCGGGACCCCAAAGCCGGCACAGGATCTGTCCAGGACTATAGGTCGGGCAACTGGGCCAGGCAGGTCCCGGCCCATATCCCACCGGAAAAAAGAAAGAAAAAAAAGGACGGCAAACCACACCGGAAAAAAAGAAAGAAAAAAAAGTACGGCAAACCAAACAAGTTTTGGCTGAGGGTCAATTCCAAATTCTTCTCAGAATCCAGGATAAAAATAAAATGAAGCAAGGAAAATCATCTCCCACCCTTGGGTGGCCCTTCAACCCCTTTCAAGGCCCTTAACCCCCGACCCCTCCCCTGCAAGAAGGACGTGAACCAGAAAACAAATGTAAGACCGGACAAGGGTACCTCTCGGAAGGCGCAAAATAGCCCCATCAGCAGGGAAGGAGGAGGAAAAGGGGGGGGAGTTTTGACTGGTTTCTTGACTCGCCCGGGTGGCCCAGGCGGGAGGGTCCCAGTCGCACTGGCCCGGCTGCCCGGCCGGGCGGCCGGGCCTGGGCGTATCTGGTAGCCCAAGATAACCAAGAATTTCTAATCATTTTCCTCCGTGGAACAGAGAAATGCAAAAATTATTGGCCCACGACACCGCATTCGGCCCCACAAACGCCAAAACACGCCTCCCTTCCACTCTCATCGCTTTACACACAAAATTGAAAGGCATCGACGTTCCCAGCAAAATCTTTTCGAAAACTTTAAAACAAACGTCTGGGAGGGTGGGTGGGATCTGGCCTGAGTTGGCCGCAAAGCTGGAGCACTGCTATGAAAAATGGGAGGCTGGGTAGGCGGGTCCACGCCGGGTTCTGAAGGGATTAACTTTGGCCGAGATGAGGAGGCTTGATAACCAGAACACTTAAAGAGAGAATGGGCCCACACCAGGTCGAGGAGCGGAGGGGCACATCAAAATTCTTTACCGAATCTAAAATTAAAATTAATATTAATATTAATATTTAAATATTTTTCATTTTATTTTGGCCCGGCCCACCAAGTCTTTCCGGGCCACTCAGGCAGCCTAGAATTTAAGTTATTTAACTTCAATTTTATTTATTTCCCCACGGAAGTAAACGTGTGAGAACACGAAGTACTCAGTAGCGTGAGACTGCTGAGTATTTTAAAGAATGGACTCAATGGAGTGTATAATCCAGGGCAGACTGAGTAGAGTGTGGTAGAAGGTCTGTTGCATTGGCTTCCCGTGCATTTGCAATGTGGTTCTCTCCTCGACTATATTGTTTTGAAGTTTCCATTTCTCATCAGGAGGTTTGAAACCCGACCGCTGCCCAGGATGCATTTGACTGATGAATAAGTACTCGCCAGGTAGCCCAGAGTTAGCAGTACCCCCGAGAAACGTGATTGACTTTACTCCCTCACACCAACCCTGCAATCCTACAAGACTACGAGAATAGCAGTAATCCTGAAAAACTGGTTTGTCACAGCCATAAAACACACACTACAATCCGCCCGTGGCATACCATGCTAGGGGGGGATGCTGACACAGAGAATTTCCAAAAAGAAAAAAAAAAAAAAAAAAAAAAAAAAAAAATTTTTGGGGGGGTTTTGGGTGTTTTTTTTTGGGGGGGGGGGGGGGGGGGGGGGGGGGGGGGGGGGGGGGGAAAGTGGGGGAGATTTTTTATATTATTT